AGCCTCTGGCAGAGCGCTGGGCCTTGTTTTCTTGAGCCACCTCTGGCCTGGCCAGGGCCCATGATCTGGGCTGAGTTACAGCAGTGACTGCCGGTTGGCCTGGGGAGGGGGCCGGATTGTGTGTGGTGGCTGTCGGGGGCTGGGAGGTGCAGGGGAGGTCAGGAGCCAGGCCTCGGCCATGTCTGCTTTCCTGGCGGCGGGCTACAGCCAGAGCCCTGGCATCAGGCCCAAATCTTCTAATTCAGCCAGACAAGCTCTGAACAACCTGCCCTTCTGATGGCCTTTGGCCACTAGGAGACCCTGGACCTCAGGAAAGTGTGGACAGGAGGGAGGGAGGGAGGGAGAGAGAAGGGGCGGGGGAGAATGATGTGAGAGAGAACAGGAATCAAGAGACAGAGATGAGAAACAGAAAAAAAGAGAAAAACAGACACAGAGACAGATTATAGGGACACAGAGTAAAAGAGAAACGGAGGGAAGGAGAGACAAAGAAATGTGAAAAGAACAAGACTGAGGGAGGCAGAGAGAAAGCTTGGCCCAGCGTGTGCCAAGGACCAGGCCTGGCCAGGGAAGGGCCCCATGCCTGTCCCCTGGCTTCAGCCAGGCCCATGTGGGGGACTGAACCTAGGCTCAGCTCTGGGACTACAGGCCAGGACCTCCGCTCAGTGCTCCCGACACCCTCTACCTCTCCTGTAACCCCGTACTGAGAGCCCCTGTGTCTCCCAGGGCAGGGGCATCCGTAGTCAGCCAGTGGGGAGGTAAACGGCTGACTCTAGAGAGCCCTCAGAATCCACCCCTGGAGCACCTGAGAAGTGCTGTACACATAGGCAGGCATCAGCTGACACCTGCTTCACCTACAGGCTTGCCCATGAGGTCAGGGGAAACATGTCAAGCCCGCCAGGCCTTCCACAAATCCTGGCACCTGGCACAGGACAGCTGCTGCTGTGAAACTGAAATCCAGAGTGGAGCGGGCGATGGGATTCTCTGGCTCCCGGCCTCAAGACCAGGCCCCAACTCCTTGGCTGGACACTCGGGGCCCATGGGATTGGTCTGAGGCTGCCTCACCCCACACACGCTAACCAGATGACTCACAGCTCTCTGCCCACACAGTGCCCACTCTCTCTGCTCTGCTGACCTGCACTGGCCCCGCTCCTGCACGCCCACCTCAGGCTGGCTCACTTCCACAGTAGAGACTAAGAACACGGAACCTGGAACATCATCCACCAGTGTTCTGGTTCTGGCCCTGACGCTAAGTGGCGGTGTGACCGACCACGGGCAGGGTGCTATTCTTTGCTAAGCCTCAGGAAACGTTGTCAAGGTGGATGGGGCACTCGTGAAGTGCCAGACACGTTAGGGAAACCAAATAGATGCAACCCCTGGCCTAGCCAACTTCCTCCCTGGTACAGGCAGGGGCAAGCCCAATCCAGGCAGGACAAGCGTAGGAAGAACATGCTCTTCTCTATGAAGAGGCCACGAGGGCCCTCAGTTTCCCCTCCTGTAAATGGAGTTAATGCCAAGGTGCTCCTCAGACAACTGTAGTGAGGATGGTACGCGTGCATGTGAGGAAAATACCCAGGAATTGATAGGGCTCAATACATTGTCTTTGCCTTGTTATTGTTGCCAACTGTTACAGTACCAACCCACTTCTGGCCCCAGGAATTTCAAGAATCTAGTTCTGGAACCCAGAAACGTCTCCTACTCTCCCTTTGCTCACTTTGCTCCAACCCACAAGCCTCCTCGCGGTTCCGAAGACATTTCAGGCACACTCCCACCTCAGGGCCTTTGCACTTGCTGTATCCCTAGTCTGGACTAATCCTTCCTCAAATATCTTCATGCCCTTCGGAACTCTGTTCAAATGTCACCTGTGAGGCCTTAACTGCCCTCCTCTAAAATGTCACTGCTCCCAACATTTCATTCCCCCCTTTTCTGCTTATATATTTGTTCTATAGGGCTTGTCACCACTGGGCAAGCGACGTACTTCCCTCCTATATTGGGCTTACTAAAATGCCAGCCCCATTTTTCCTGTCTTGTTCACCACTTTGTCCCAAGGTTCTAGAATAGGGACCGGGACAAAGCTACTTAGTATGTAGTGAGCCTAGTGGCTCATTGTATAGGTTAGGCCCAGAGAGATCAAGGTATTTCCTCAAAGTTACATAATGAAGGGACAGAAGGAAGCCTACAAATTTGGAGAAACCAGTCTGGCCAGTTTCCCTCCTTCCACTCCTCATACCCCAGCCCCCCAAACTCCATGCCAGGAGGAGTTAGGCCATGGCTGCAGGTCTGTGGTACCAGGAGGCTGTCGGCAGCCTCAGATCCCTGCATGGCTCTTCTTCAGAGAGTGAGGGGCCCTTGGAGACAGCAGAACCAGACAAAGATGCAATCATGGTGGAATGGGGAGATGGTGGTCCCTAGGGGAGGCTCAGAATGCCCCGGTATGATTTGGTTGAAAGCGGGTAGGGTTGGGGTTCGGGGAATGATGAGGGGTGAGGCAGCCTCAGACCAATCCCATGGGCCCCGAGTGTCTGGCCAAGGAGTTGGGGCCTGGTCCTGCAGTCCGGGAGCCAGAGAGTCCCATAGCCCACTCCACTCTGGATTTCAGTTTCCCAGCAGCAGCTGTCCTGTGCCAGGTGCCAGGATTTGTGAAAGGCGGGCTTGGCAGGCTTCCCCTGACCTCATGGGCAAGCCAGTAGGTGAAGCGGGTGTCAGCTGGTGCATCAGGGACTGAGGCTGGGGTTCCGATCTGGGGACCCGGGATCGTTGTCCGCAGGGGGGACTGCAGGCCCGGAGGGGAGCCCGATTTGATTTACTCCTAATAACCAATGAAAGCGGGCAGGGATGGACACAAAGGAGAAGGCCTTACCCTCGATTCCCAGGGGATGAATCTGAGGACAGAGAAGTGAGGCAGCTTACTTCGAGATTCACAGGAAAAGTCAGACTATGGGGTTAACAACAGGGAGCGCCTACTCTATGCCAGGCACTGTGCCCAAGTGGATGATCTTATTCCCTCTTCCGAATGACACTAAGGAACAAATAAACTTTACCTTGTACCCATTTTAGAGGTGAGGACACTGACGCTTAGGAGAGGGAAAGTGGCTTGGCCCTTGGGAGTGCAGGAGTTAGTCCATAGGCTGGGCATTTTGGGAAAAGGCTGAAGAAACCATGACAGCACGGGCCAGGTGCCTACATCAGATCAGAAAAAAATCCCACCCAGAGTATGGAATTGCAAGTCCAGAAAGGTCTCTGCTGGTCCTCAATGAGAGAGCAAATGGCCCAATGCCATGTAGCCCCAGGTATGACAGAGATGGTATGCCACAACCCAGGCCAGTCAAGCAAAGGTGGTAGGGGGCCCTTGCCCACGCCAGGCTAGGGCTGTGCATGGTGGCAAATGTTAAAATGCCAGAATGTTTGACAAACAAAGCTTGGAGTGATGACTATGTTCAGCAGAGGAGCCACTGGCAGCTCCCAGTCACCTGACTCTGGAGTTCTCAAAGGCGTTTCCTTAACCCCTGGGGACACTTGGCCTTCTTGGGGCTAGGCAATGAGATTCCTGGGGCTCAGGAGGAAGTCAGAGAAGGGGGTGGGGACTGATGCTGCTGGAGCATAAATGGTAGGCACAGGGGTAAGAAGACAGGGGCCTTGGCCTGAGGGCAGGATTTGAGCAAGGGTCTCTAAATTGTGGTCTAGGGATTATGGGGGCTCTACACACAAGTCCTAATGGAGGGGGCTAATATATCCATCACCATGGGGGAGGGGCAAGGGATGGATGGAGTTGTGGCTTTCGTACGGGAGGAGCTTAAACTGGAGGATTTGCAATGCCCTTCCCACCAGGAATTCTGGAATACCCAGTGAGGGGCTGACGGTCCTTAATGCAGGGAGTTGGTTGGGGGGCAGTGATGGAGGAGGGGGAGGGAATGGTGATCTGTACGTTCAGCCTCTGAATCTACAACTAGGATAGGGCGCTGGGGGAAGGGCGTTTGGGGCATTCAGTAGCTAGGGGCCCTTGCATTGAGGTTCCCAGAGCGGGAGGCTGATGTGTCCAGATGTGGGGGCTGAGGTCACTGTTTCCAGCCCAGGACCCTGGCTGAGGCGCCGAAGGGGCCCTAGGGTGTGAATGCCGGATCTGGGAGACCTGGGATGGGGTGCGACTTCTAGGGGCTCGGGGCAGAGCTTGTAGCTGAGGAGCAGCCTCCAGCTTGTAATGGGTTATGGGGTGGGGTGTCCCTAAGTCCAGCGGCGGTCTTTGCAGCCGCGGGTGCCCCGGGGCTAGGACTGGGATCTGGGGGTGCGATGGGAGCTCTGTTTGTAGTCCCGGGAGCTGATACTGCAGTTCCTTGATATGGGGAATCTAAGCATCCAGAAAGCCTCGGGGCTGGGTTCTGGCTTGGACTTGGAAGTGGCGCTGGGATGGGGTCCCCAAACTTGCAACATAAGCCGAGGCTGGAGTTCTGCATCAGGGCCTGAGGCTGCGGTTCCGATCTGGGGACTCGGGATCCCTGTCCGCAGCCCGGTCTGGGGACTGCAGGCCCGGAGGGGAGCCCGAAGGTCCTACC